GTTTTGAAACTGATTCTTCCTTTCGACGCAATATTATCTTCCTGCTACAACATCGCTAAAATTGGAAAATACCTACAATATGCTTTTCTGTTTCTTTTTTGTGTTTTTTTTAGCAAATGATATTATGGTTTTTGGTTCTATCTATAAACATCGGTGGCAAATGTGGAAAGGATATTTTGTGTTGCCCTCTAAACGAAGTCAGAATATTTCCGGCTCCTCAGCTCAATCAGAGCCAAAAGCTTGTTTTCACCATCAATTTCATAATCCTCATCTTTCGTTCCATCCCGTTTCTTGGCAACTGCCTCTTCATTTTTGCTTCTCTCAACGAACGGACAAATCAGTTTGCCGGTCCTTAATCAGTCAACAAACTAACAAACAAGCCCACCAGACCCCACACACCTGTTTCCTAATGAGCACGGCGAAGCCCATCAGTATCTAGAGCTGATAAAAGCATCCACATTTTGTGTACGCCATTAGGGAAACTGCCCGTCCGGTGAACACCACTTGGCCTTTCTTAAATACGTTTTTTTTTTTTTTTTCTAATTTTTTATTTTATTTTTTTTTACATATTTTTCTTTTACGTTTTTGTTGGATTGTTTTTATGTTAAATAGCCAGTTCTGATGAGAATTGTTAAATATTTTTCCTATTTGACTATTTTTTTTTGTTGTTGTTGATGAATTCTCAATTTTTATATGCCTTTCATCATTATTTTATAATCTTTTTTTTTTTATTTTTGAGGCTTTTTTTTTTTCGTTTTTCTGATTCGAGGTTGATTTTTTTCCCATCATTTCTTCATTCCTTCCTTTCATTTTTTTAAAAAAAATCTCTTAACTTGTTATTCAACCAATATTCGTTTTCTCCTCGTGTAAGGCTTTCATATTTCTTTAACTCTTTTCGTTCTTTGATTCTTTTAAATTTCTCAGTCTTTCCACAAATATTAATCCTTCGTTTGTCTTTCATTCCTTATTTTTTTTGTTTACCCTTTTCCCACACCTATGTTTCGACTGACTTCGATTTTTTTCTTACCAATTTCCATATCTACATTCTCTTTCATTCAAATTTCTTTCACTTCTTTCATTAACTATTCGATTCTTGTCTTTCCTCTCGGATTTTATTTTATATTCTTCCCAATCATTTTCCGATTATCGACTGATTCAATCAAATCACTTGTGTCTGCAGCCATTTGCCTCTGTCTTTCCTTCACCAAAACGTTTATTTTATTTCCTCTTTCTTCAAAATTCGAGACAAAATTCGAGCCACGCAATCTTCATCAGAATTTATCAATTCATTCTCGCTTTCACCATTTATCTCAACTCTGTCTATATCTCTCATTTTCTATTTGTTACTCTCTCTCTCACACACACCCTTGTTCTCCTTTGTGAAATTCCTTATCTCAGTCTGTTCTTATCTATCTATCTATCTATCTATCTATCTATCTATCTATCTATCTATCTATCTATCTATCTATCTATCTATCTATCTATCTATCTATCTATCTATCTATCTATCTATCTAATCCCATTCTGTTCAAATCTATCTATCTATCTATCTATCTATCTATCTATCTATCTATCTATCTATCTATCTATCTATCTATCTATCCCATTCTTGGAGGCTTTATAATTCACTGGATCTAACCAACGTCTTTATCCACTTGACCATATATCCTGAAGAATGCCGGCGCGTACAACGGACGAAACGTGATTATGGCAACGAAGATGAGGATAACAGTTCGAATAATGTAAGTAATCATAATACCTCATTTCAGAGATACAGACAGCCATTATATCACTAGAAGCTAGTCACTGGATCTAACCAGCGTCTTTATCCACTGGGCCATATGTCCTTGTGAATATGGCAATGAAGATGAGGATAACAGTCTGAATAATGTAAATTACATTTTTTTTTAAATCGGAATTACCCCAAGCAAGGCAGTCATGCCACTAAAAGACAGGGGGTTACAAAACATGGAAGAGTTTGGAACAGAAATATGATGAGCAAAAAGAGAAGTGAGTAATCAAGAAGACAGTAGATAACGATTGACATTGCATTGAAATTTCAGATATTGTCCCTTTTTTTAAAAAAATCGGAATCACCCTAATGCAGTAATGGCACTAAAACACAGGGGGGTTACAGGGTGTGGAAGATTTAGGAACAGAAATATTAATGATGAACCGAAAGAGAAAAGTGAAATCAGGAAGACAGTAGATAGCGATTGACATTGCATTGAACTTTTTGAAGATTAAAGTTGGCTGGAAAGCATGGAGCCGGAAGGGAGTTCCACAAGTATGACAGGAAAGCCACTAAGACACAAGGGGTTACAGGGTGTGGAAGAATTAGAATTAATAATGAACGGGAAGAGAAAAAGAGTAATCAGGAGGAGTGTTGATAGCGATTGACATCGCATTTAAATATATGAAGATTAAAGTTGACTGGAAAGCATGTCGCCAGAAAGGGAGTTCCATAAGTAAGGCAGTAAAGCCACTAAGACACGAGGGGTTACAGGGTGTCGAAACATTAGGAACAGAAAGATTAATGATGAGCTGAAAGAGAAAAAGCTAATCAGGAAGACAGTAGATAGCCTTTTGCATGTTTGTTTCGCATCCTCTAGATTAGGTCAATTGTGTGTTTAAGGTGTGTTGGGATGATATGACCTAGGAAGATTCTCAACCCAGAACACATTAAAAACGCTGGCGACTTAATCTGGATTTTTGGTAATTCCCTGGTGCGGTTTCTATCATTCTATGTTCTACGTCTAAAAAAATGACGCCTTTATCTCAGTCACTATCGTTCTTCAGCCCTTCTTGGGTGAGGACGGTTTGAATAATATTAGGCCAGTCCCCAGGTGGGGGGATTTCCGTCCAGGCAGTACCTCTCCTTCAGAGGGGGGGCTAGATACATTGCCCGGCATCTGAGGGGTCCACACAAAAGTCGAAAGTGCCTAAGGCGGACTCAGCTATTTTTCTGCGGTCTTAAACCTCGTCCATGTTTCATTTCCGATAGCGACGTGGGCGCTCTGCTAAACAAAATCGTTTCTCGGCCATTTGACTGGGATCAATGTGTAGTACCTGCCCTCGGGCGGATGAGTTAGATTTCATCTTTCGGTTGTGTTTCATTCCGCGGCAGACCCTCCCTCATTGCACTAAAAAAGTGGGTTCCGTAGTAATACACAGGCCAGAGCAACGTAGGTACAGAATGCTAACCATCTGTTAAACAATATAACAGATGATGAGCAATAGGACACAGAAAACCGAAGGGTTATTTGAATGAATGAAGATGCCTTCCCAAAGCTAAGCAAAGGAACATATCAATCTTAATATATGGCAATGAATATGGTAAATTTTCATTTTAGCACCCGAGCGCTAATATGCCTTCAATTTTTTCCAAAATAGTCTTATTTCCTTGCAAATGTATATGCTGAACTCAAATCAACAATTAAATATTGAAGAAACCTACCTTTTTGGATGTTAACGACCCGAAAAAATTGGACTTTTTCCTGGTCTTTCGTCAGCCATTACCGGCTTATTGATAAGGAATTCAATGCTGAATTTTGTTGGTGGACGTATACAATTTGGGCCTATTTACTTCCTCCATAGTAATTCCTTGTAGTTAACTTTCAAATTAGGGTTAGGTGTTTTATTTCTTTTGTTATTCTTTTATTTTTTTTATTTTTTTTTAAGAAGAAAGTTAACTTTCAAGGATTAGGAAAATAGTTCAGCAGTGAATGACGTTCGGGTGTTAAAATGAAAATTTACCATGAATGTTTCCCCACGGATGAAGATGTAAGACAACAGAGGTTCTAATTTTTCTCCAGATAGGTAATGATTTGATTTGACTGACTGATTTTCTTCTGCATGTTATTTAAAGCCAGAAACATATTTTTTTAGATTGTAATTTCTTTTTCCATTATTCGGACTATTGTCCTCATCTTTGTTGCCATATTTATCACAACATTTCGGCCGTTGTACGCTCCGGCCTTCTTCAGGTGGTTGGAATGTCGAACTGAACCCTTTATTTCGCTCACTGGGGTAGACTGTTCTAGTTCCACGTGCCATGTCTAATGGATGTCAGTTACCAGTTATCTCATGTTAATTCCCCTCTACAAGTTCTCCACTGCTTTAACAAGGTATTGAACTCACAACTCTTTGGGTCCTGTCACTGGATCTAACCAACGCTTTTATACACTGTGCCATGTGTCCTTAAGTGTTCATATAAGGAGAACAATAAAGAGGGGGTTCTCCGCTCCTCAAAACCTCCAATCTCCCTATAAGAGGGCTTGCTGCCGGATGTAGTTTATTGTCATACCCAGGATGACTAATCAGAATTTGATAAACAAACATGACATTATATGGGTATAAATTGGGGGATCAATTCTATATTATTATCAATATATAAACTGACCCCTCACTATTTAGCCACAGTCGTTTCTATACATTTATATTATAAAGAATATAAATAAATCTAAATGACATATCTGTGTAGCTAAACAGTATTTCATTGATTCATTTTCGACGGCTTAGCAATCCTTTACAGGTTATTTAAAGCCAGAAAACAGTTTTAGAGTATGATAATTTTTAGTTTTTGTAAATAATAATGGTTTTGCGTCGCAAGTCTTAACGACTTAACCCATAGCTTGGGACAGAAGATACGGATTCATACCTAATCAGAATTTTATAAACAAACAAGAAATTATAATGTTGATAATAAGGATTTAGTGATTATCCCGTAGCTCTTGGGAGAAGATGTGGATTTATCCCTTTCTCAAGGGTATTTACGCGTAAATAAATATAAAGAAGTCGACTGACACTGGAACTCGGCACTCTGATTAACAATTGCGAGCGATTATACATTGCACCAGCCGCACATCCAAGCTTACAGCACCTGGTATTCCTATTTAGGCACTGACCAGGATCGACGTTGCTTAACTTTGGTGATCGTACCAGAACCGGTGCTTCAAAGTCATGTGGCCGTAAGCCATATTACCCGCACATCCAAACTTACTTCACCTGGTATTCCTAAGCGGTCACTCCTCTAGGTACTGACCAGGCTCGTCGTTGCTTAACTTTGGTGATCGTACGAGCACCAGTGTTTCAAAGTCATATGGCCGTAAGCCATATTACGCGCACATCAAAACTTACATCACCTGGTATTCCTAAGCGGTCACCCTTCTACATACTGACCAGGCTCGACGTTGCTTAACCCAGATACTGACAGAAAGATGCTGAGAATACCATAGACCGAACACATGAGCCACAACAAGGTTTAAACAAAAATGTGAACAAAAATGGCACATGTGCTTGGAACTAGCAAAAGAGAGTTGGATTTTCTAAGAGATATAATGAAGAAAGAAGGCTTGGCGAATTTAACACTCACACATAATATTCAAGGTAACCTAAGTTGTTTAAATGGATGAAAGAAGATGGGTTGGTTGGTATAGTGTGTAGACATTCGTTTATTTCGCGAGATAATTGTAGCTCTCTCATTGGTTAAGATTCAGTCCTTTTGTGAGTAGTGTGTAGAGCTCTGTTGTGCCCCCACCGGGTAGTGAGGCTGGAGCGAGCTCTCCAATGCGCAATCCTGGGCGATATTATACCGCTTCTGAGAACCTATATCCCCAGTCTCCCGGCAGTATTAACAAGCTCTAAAGGAATACAGGACATTATATTTGGGTTCGGCTTGATGGCAGGAATTGCCGCTTAGTTTTCAGTGTCATATCCAACAGCCATCTGGTTTCTACTTTCTGTTCGCATGTTATCCTCATCTTCATTGCCATATTCACAAGGACACATGTCCCAGTAGATAAAGACGTTGGTTCGATCCAGTGACTAGCTTCTTGTGATATAATGGCTGTCTATATCTCTGAGATGAGGTATTATGATTACTTACATTATTTACATTATTCGGACTGTTATCCTCATCTTCATTCCTATATTCACAACGTTAACTAAAATGACGTTCGCTTTTCACCACTACAAAATATCTTCAACTTATTATAATTTGCTATCAGATTCATTCTAATTGTAGCAAGATGAGTGTAAGTTTTACTTATTTTAATACTATAGGAAAATGCCAGCATCCAAATATTAGAGATTTACTAATGGGGGAGGTATAGTGTAATAGAATGGACATCAGCGGCAAGTGGAAAAGTTGGGTAAAGCAAGAATCTGTTTCTTTTTCTCACCAGCTTTGGGTTAAGTAGCAAAGTAGACTGACTTCTCTAGTCTTGATTGGAAGCCAGTCTAAGAAAAGTAAACTCTGTATTTCAAACTGTGGAAAAAGCAATGGAGAAACTACTCCACTATCTTTCCCAAGAATCCATGGCAATTCACATAATAAAGAAAAAGAATCTGGGGAAAATATGACTGCTTATGTCCTGAGGAACATGGAATTTTTTTTTTTTTTTTTAACGGGGCGGTGGATTTGGAAATGTTTTGATTGTGATGTATGTCAAAGACAACTCGGTTAGAAATGTCTTTTTATGAGACACCTTTTAATTTATTATCTATATATTAATAGACTTGTCACACTTGGTTGAGCCTCTGATCGAGAATTGGAACTTCTGAATTTTTTTTTTTTTTTGTGGGAGAATTTAGTTGTTAAATAGAAGTTTATTTTCAACAAATTAGTTTTTACTTTAAAATAAAGCATATACATTTACTATTTCTATAAAACAATTTCTAAACTTTTTTATTAGTAAAAAAATAGAATAAGCTTTTTTTTCCATTGAACGGGGACGGAGGTCTACCAAAAAGTAATTAATACTAAATCTGGTCCATGGATAAAAAAAATGGCTGTTAACCATTGCTCTAGATGTTTCTAGTATGAAACAGTTTGTCGCCTCTGAGTGTTAAAATGTTCACTTTCAGAGTTGTATATATATATATATATATATATATATATATATATATATATATATATATATATATATATTTCATTCTCATTTTATTAAATAAATATAGACAAGTGTTGTCTATTTAATTATGTAAATTCTTTTCATAACGTCTGATAAGTTTAATAACATTATCATTGAACGAAGAAAGAAATTCACAATATTGATCCATATTTTTTAATACAATTTAAGCTTTCGGCTTACGTAAGCCATTATCAAAGTTATCAATTACAACATATTAAGCAATATACGGACAAGACAGTGATGATAGTCTGTCATTGTTTACATATATGATTTTTAAGCAACGATAAATACGTGCATGTAAGACGCTGTCTATATTATTTAATGAAACATGTATGAATGAATAACTACTGAGAAATGGAAATGCATATATATATATATATATATATATATATATATATATATATATATATATATCTGTAAATTTAGCAAAAACAAATCGCTCAGGGGACTGAAGTTGTCACTTGCGACTCACACACAAGGTTTAATAAACAAAGTTGTCGGAACCGACGGGAGAGTCCATCATATATATATATATATATATATATATATATATATATATATATATAAAGATTATAATTTATTACAT